GGTCCGGTCCGGGAAGCGTTTAGGCGGTCTCTGCCGGTTCCCTTTTCGGTCACCGGGATTCCGCCGAGCTGCGTGGATTCGTCGCACCGCCCAGTTTTTCCTGTTTGGGCATCGCTCGTAGTCGGTTACTCTTCCCTGTCGGAGGCAAAGACCTTGGCCTGGGGCGCGGCCCCGCTGCATGATACGATCCGTGTAACGTTCCCTGCCAGTCACGCGGTTCTCGGGCAGTAACCCGGCGTCCTCGGTGTGCAAGTGTCCACGCCCGTTTACGCCCCAAACCAACATACCTCTAGGAGCACCAGAAGCCTGCCTTATGCCTTTATCCACAACCACGTTAAATAACCGATCGCTTATCCCTGTCTTCGGCTTACTGAGCCGTTTACTAAACGCTCCATTTATTTTCATGCATGCTTTACTCCTAACGTATACTACCCTTACTGCGTTCAGCAGCCGAGTTTCAATTCCGTATTCGCGTGAAATGTTCCATAATTCAAGCTTATACGTTTTATTATATGTTTTCTCTAAATCAACGGGAGTTATAATAAACTCCTTTTCTTGCATTTCTGGGTGACCTGCTGAAGAGCAAACATTTGGTTCTGTTTTGCTGATTGCCACTTCTGTAGCCTTTCAATCAGAATTCCACAAACAGCTTCCCGCACGTGGGTGGCAAACTAAGCTTTTGCACTCCCTGTTGCTATGCTTCTCTTTGTGTAGGGGAACAAATTGACATTCTCGTAATCATCAGGCACAGTTGCAGTCTTCACACGCACGTTGAACGTGCCACACAGCCACATCCACATTTTAACATTTCTCCAGCTACACCAACTACACCGGCAGCCCATTCATTTTTCAGCTTTCTCGTGGCATTTATGACTTTCTTTTCATCCGTTTCTTTCTTGGCCAGTAGCACTCAGCATTGGTTCCAAGTCTGTGTCACCCCCAGTAATTGCACCCATTTTTATTTTTAAATCCATTTCATTCAGCTGGTGGCTTCTTGTTTAGCTTTCCCCCACTTCCAAATTGTGTTTTATTCCCATCAGAATTGCTCTGCATTTTCTCTGCCTCTTTCAATCTTACCCGTTTCTTGTTTCCTTTGACACTTTTTTCCTGTCTCGTGCGATCGTGATGAACTGCTACCCTCAGCACATGACCTGCGCAGCCACCATTGCAGGCCTCCTCGGTCCCTCATTCCTGCGTTATTTACTCTTTCCCTGCCACTTGCCTGTTAGTTTAACTATTCCTGGGGGGATCCCTGTCTTCCAGACTTCAGGAAGCATTAAGATGGAGTTGCTCCAACCGTCCTTATAGCGTACGGCCATGCTGCTCCACAGCGCTCGGTCGCATAACGCTTTTTGCTCTGCTCCAGGCAGCTTTCCCCTCCTCTTTCCTTCGGATCCATCTACTTTGCATTCCTTCAGTTGGGAGATGAATTGAGCTTCTAAAACTCCCTCTTCCTCCTGCAGTTGTTCCAGTTCACTCTGATTTCTTCCTTGTCCATCCTTCCCCAAGATCCGCTCTGGGCCCTACTGAATAGCGGTCTGCCCCCATCAGAGCCTCTTGTCCTGTCTTTGAATCTTGGTGAGTCGGAAGAGGGGCTGCCGGATTCCTCCTGATGCTTTGGCACCGTGGACTAACATGGCTCTCCTCCTGCAGTTTCGTTATCCTTGGCTCCTTCGCCGAGTCCTTCCTCATAAACAAGCAGATCAACCATGCTTTTCCATCTCCGTTCATTCCTTTGCCATAGGTGTGTGTGAACAGATGCCAGGCTGCCAGACTCACCAGGCAGCTGCCATTCTCGCTCGTTCTCGGGTCTCCAAATGGCCCAGCTCTCTCTTCTTGTTTCCACCCATCCATTCGGGTCCCTAACAGAGTAATTTTTACCCTGGATCTTCTTCTTTGGAATGTTGCACAATTCCACCGCTCCCAAATCATCTTCCATTATCACCATTCACGGAGCGCAACTCGCTGCTCCCACTGCCCTGTGGATTCCTGTTTCTGTAGGAGCCTGGATGACCCCAGTTCCCGCATTCTGCTCTACATTTCACCCCTTCCCTTGTAGCTGAGCCTTCTTTTCGACTCCTTGTTCAGGCCAGTTTTTTTCTTCCCCTTTCCCAGAGATGGCACGTGCGCATTTCCCTTTCTTTTCTTTTTTGGCTAACTCCTGCTTTTCACCCTTTCTTCCTTTTTCATTCCCAAACTGCAAAGGGTCAGGGAAAGGCAGTTGGGCCTTTGGGGAGTTTCCCAGGGCCAGGCCGTGAGCCAGGCAGAGGTGCGGCATGAATCTGCTTTGCACCTAGCCGGCTTGCTCAGTGTTCAGGTTTGCTGTTTTCTCCCCATCGGTTGGCAAAAGAGCACGTGAGTGAGTTTCTACTTGGCCTCTTCCCACAGCTGCCAGTCCTATTGCCTTGGGGGCATAGCCACGCAGCAGGCAAAGCCCCCCCCATTTCTTCTCACTCTCCCTCCCCCTGGAGTGCCTTCTCTGCCAAGTTGCATCCTCCGTAACGCTGTTGCTTTGCTGATTCACAGAACGCCAACACATTAGTGCCAAGGAGGGAAGGGGTTATGCGCGCCACTTCAAAGGCCCAGGCCCACTGGCCCTTCTGGCACCTGTAGGTGGTCCCAACATCCCTCTTGAAATGTGATTCAGCTCCTCCTGATTTTAGCCCATCTGGTCTTCTCTCCCCTTGGCCCCAGATCCTCCCTGCCAATGGGCAGCAGAAGGGGTGCCTGCTGCCCAGCGCCCTCCGGACTGAGGCGGTTGTAAAGGACCGTTCAAGGCTTGCCTGCCAGTCCTGGCAAGGCAAGGGCATAGTTTCAGGGAAGGCCCTGTTTATTCTGCTTTAGTCCTGGGGACGGTCTTCTTTAGCTCCCGGCAGAAAGGGGTCAGGCCTGACTCCTGGAGACCACATCTGTGCAGCTTAGATGCCCGTGTTGCCAAGGCCGTTGGCCGGGCGTTCCTTGGGACGGAATTTGGGGAATTGTCCTGGGCAGTTGGGAGCAGCTGGGTTGGGGGAGCCTCTGTGGCTCTGCTTGTCCGCAGCAGGGCTGGAGAAGGACGAGGAGAAGCTGCCTACGAGGCCCCTTCCCTGCGATTCCGTCCCGCGTTTGTGTGGGGCACAAAGCCTGTGGCAGTGGCCGCTGCCTCAGATAGCTTTGGACGTTGATAGCTTCTAGCAGCCAGGTGCGTGATTTATCAGTATCCAGAGGCAGTCCACTGCTGGAAAAAAGGGGACTGGCTCTGCGCACTGCCTGGGGGGCTTCAGAGAGGCATCTGGTTAATTGGTGGGCCATTGGCCTGAACCAGCATAGCTCCCTTGGCTGTTCTTACGGCTGAGTGTTCAAACATAATGCCAAGGGAGGACCTCTGGCCATCTGCAGGTTCTTTTCCTCCTTGCCAAGGAATTGCGCTCTGAATTTTAATATTAAAGGGGGGGGTGAATTGATGTGTGGGCTCAGTTTCTCCTTGCGTGGCTCTTGGCATCACTTCCGCCTCTCTTGCAGCCAGACGAGCCCCTCGCCGTGTGGCACACCACATCCCCCAAGAGATTTTGTCGGATCCAGAGCTCCAGGAAGCTGTGGGACGCCTCCCTCGGAACTACAACTTTGAGGTCTACAAAACGGTGTGGCGGATCCGTCAGGCCCAAGCCAAGAGGGGTGAGTGCCTTGCCTGGGGGGGGGGAGGAACAATCTGTGTGTTGGGGAAGGGCGTCCCTGTTCTGGGAGACCCCAGGCCCCAATTTCTTTTGACCACCAGGGGTGTTTGCGTGTAAGCTGAAGCCCACCATATCCCTGCACGGAAGGTCAGCCACCACTGTCTGTCCCAGCCACCTCGTCTCCTTGAATAACGCATCTCTGCTTCTCCTTGGAGCCTCTGCCTTTCTCTGGGGAAGCACAGCTCTGGGGAAAGTGGGTGGCCCCCGGGGGTGGGGATTAGCCACATGGTGCCATGTGCAGTGTTGCTGACTGCTGTCACACGTGCCAGGGAGAGCTGGCTGCAGAGCACTTGCCCAAACAAGCTATATCCTGCCAGCAAACAGCTTCTCCGCGCAGGGTGCTGAGCGGTTCGCACAAGGTGGGCAGCAGAAGAGGCAGAGTTCTGCAGATTGCCAGCAAGAGATCATGGAATTGGGAGGCTCCCTGCATCTGGTTTCTGCTCACCCAGCTGCGGGTGACCGGCAGGACAGGGGCTCTGGCTTCTTCTTGATCTCTCAGAGCTGGCCAGAAAGACCAGGTGGCCGCAGCGGGGAGTTGGGTTTGGGGCTGTGCCTGGGATCTGGGCATGCTTGGGAGACCCTCCTCTTTATCTAAACCTGAATTCATTGGGGGCCGTAGACAATGGCCAGGCACGTGACAAGGGCTTTCGGTTCCACCGTGGCCGGGCAGGCCTGCGCCTTGGGTACCAGCTGCCTGGAATGGGGCTGGACTCGGTCCCTGTAGCTCTGCTGCTCTCACGTCTGGGCTGGTGGCAGTGGCTTCCCAGGGCTCCAGGGGAGGGGCTTTTCCCAGCTCATCCTGGAGATCCTCTAGACCTGAACCACCGTTTGGGCTCCCTCCTTGAGCTGCAGTTGGATGCTCTCTCCCCCCCTGACCTGATACCCTGTAGATGGGAACTGCAGCACCCAGAATTCCCAGCCGATCACCCAGAGGACGCGTGGTTGGCCAGGGAGTTTTCTCGCGTCTTCGTTCATTCTCCCGGCTTCCAGAGGTCCCCTCTTGGCAAAGGATTCACCGAGCCAAACCTTCGCAGAGGCGGGAGGGGGTGGCCTCGCAGCCCGCTTGGAGCCGGCTCTGGGAATGGAAGCCACAGCTCCAAGGGAGCTGCCCAGGAGCAGGAGTGTGAGCGGCCTCTTCTGCCTCCCTTTCAGTGGCGCTGCAGATGCCGGAGGGCCTCTTGATGTTCGCTTGCACCCTCGCCGACATCGTGGAGAGGTGAGCTGGGGAGGCGCACTGGAGGTAGCGTTGGGTCGGGGCCTTTTGGCTGTGGGGAGAGGGGCTGGCATTCCTACTTTTCCAGGGGCCCTTGGCACGGCCTCACCCCCAGCCTCAGGGCATCCAGGACTTTCGCAGAGCTGTGGATTGGAGATGCAGCCCTTCGGCTCTGCCCGCCAAGGGGCTGACTGTGACTCCGGGCACCCCCTGTGTGCTTGGGGGGGGATGGTTGGTCAGGGCACAGGGCTGGTTTGCTGCCTCCACCCTGCGCACCCCCTGGATCTACCCAGACTGCTTGGCTGCTCTGCTTTGGAAGACCTTTGGGATCCTTGCGGTGGGGGGGGCAGTGGCATGAATAGGCTGAAGGAGGGCCTGCCCTCCTTGCTGTCCTTGGAGGCTGCCCCCGGAGCCAGCTGCCCCAATGCTGCAGTGCTTTGGGGAGCCGCCTGTCCAGCGAGGGGCCTCTTTCATGTCTTGACTTCAAAGGTGGCTGATTATCCGGATCCTTTCATCTGGAGCGCCGCAGCCTGGCTCCTCATCCCTCCCTCCAGAGACTGGGAGGGAACCCGAACCCCCCCCCCCCCCGTTCGCCTGGCCCGGGAATGGCTCCTTTTCTCCTGGGTTCTTTTCTGTGGGGTCTGCGCCATTAAGGCCCTCTCGTGTTCGGATGAGCTTTATTCTTTATTCTTCTTCATGAAATGTCCATCCCGCCTGTTCTACAGGAGCTCAAGGCCGCAGACCCAGCGCTCCCTCCTCCTGTTCCCCCCCCACAAGCCTTTGAGGTAGGCTGGGCAGAGGAGGAGCTGAGCCTGCGGCCTCACGGACTTGGGGGCAAGGAGCTGCCTCCCCGGTCTGGGGAAAGCCTTCAGGTCAGCGGGAGGGTCGTGGCCCTCCGGTCTTGGACCCTTCACGGGCACTCTCACAAAATGTCTGCCACGATGGGGACAGGTGTGCTTATCCCAGCAAGCGAAGCAATGTCCCCTCCCCCACCGCTCCCCACCTTCTCCTTTGATCTCCCCCCCAGGTGCCCTCCGGCCTTGCCCTTTTCTTCTGGGTGGATGGGGGGCAACCTTCCAGCAATACCCCGGGCTGCAGCCCCCCCTCCAATTTTTATTTTTATTTTTTACTTTTGCGTTTTATTT